ATGCTGATTCATCATCAGTATTTTGAAATATGAATGGCCTTTGTTCCAATTCTTTCCACCTACCATGCATGAGAAAGAGAATAGAAATGATTTTGCATCAGTTGTAGTATCTCAAGCAAAGCTAACATTGATTCTCATTGCTAACAGATGATGGGAGACCAGAAAACAGATTAGAGCACTTGCCCATGTGTCATCTCTAGCGTGCCTACATAATCAGAGTGCCAACTCCATGGTACCACAAAGAAATATTCTGATACACTTGTGTGACGTAAGTATTGTTAAACTGTAAACACCCTCATCTAATGGTCTTGAGTAAGGATTATCTGAAGGTAACATCCTGATATCATATATGAAACACAAAGAGGAATCCTATAGCCGAAACATGTTTGGCTCAGTGGATGGAGCGTCAGCCTGCAGACTGAAGGGTCTCAGGTTCGACTGTGGTCAAGGGCATGTACCTTGGTTGTAGGCATATACCCAGTGGGGTTTGTGCGGGAGGCAGCTGATCAATGTTTCTCTCATTGTTTCTCTCTCTCTCTTCCTCTCTGTAAAAAATCAATAAAATATATATATATATATAAAAAAGAGGAATCCTACAAACTTTCACATAAAATATATAACTTTGCTATTGATCACTATTATTACTTATACAGATTATATGAAGTTCTTGGGTAATTTTTATAGTTTTATTATAACCTTTAAGATAATAAGTATTTCTCTCATTACTTTACCTTCACTATTATCATAGCTCCTTTTCAGTAGAAATGTAGTGCAGCCTGGCCAGTGTTGTGCAGTGGTTGAGCATCGACCCATGAACCAGGAAGTCACAGTTGGATTCCTGGTCAGGGCACATGCCCCAGTTATGGGCTGAATCCCCAGAAGAGGTTGGGCAGGAGGCAGCAGATCATTGATGTTTCATCTCATCATTGATGTTTCTATCTCTTTCTCCCTCTCCAGGAAAGAAGAGAGGGAGGAAGGAAGGAAGGGAGAAAGGGAAGAAGGGACCTAATGCACAATATATTCAGAACACGAAGGAATGAGAAGCTCCTTTAAATCATCAGTCTGCTGAAGGTATACAAACTGAAGAACATCTCCTCACTAGTACTGAGCTGCATTACCATTAGTAGCTGTGTAACCACTAAATGTAAGCTGTGTATTTAACACAATACTGTTGTAAGTCACTGTACAAACAAAACTTTCTTTAGTGAACCTACTAGTCAAAGTGTTGAATACATCTATATCCTAACTTTTAGTATGTATTTTCCTATAGTTTGTATAACATTTCAATCTGAAAATAAATAAGCCTTAATCTGATAAATGTAGGAAGAAGTCATATCTCATTCAGAAACAGGACAGACTTTTCAAGTAGTTAAAGCTCTTAAAGCATTAAAAAAATCAGCATAGATCATAAAAATTTCCAAAGATGAAATACCACTCAAAAAGGCTACCCAGAGGACGGTTAAAGTAAAACCGTTAACATCTCCTCTATGACAGTGTGCCAGAATCTCCCTAGACGTCCTGGGAGATCAGCCGCCGATCTGAACAAACTGGAACAGAGTAAAAACTGACTGAATCACCTCCAAAAGCTCATTTATTCTGTTGACCTATAAATCTATCCTTCGCAGTTGATGACTCAGTTATATAAAACATACTAGAGGCCCAGTGCATGGATTCATGCACCAGGGGGGTCCGTTGGCGAGGACTGCAGGGATCAGGCCAAAACTGGCTCTCCGACATTCCCTGAGGAGTCCCAGACTGCAAGAGGGTGCTTCTCAGGTGATGCATCCCAGAATCGGGCTCCCTCCTCTCTGGTTTCGGTGCGTCACCCGAGAACCACAGCTGCCAAGTCACTGCAGCTCGTTAGCTCCTGCGTTGTCTGTCCCCTGGCGGTCAGTGTTCATCATACCTACTGCTCGGACTGTCAAACAGTTGCTTAGGCTTTTATAGATAGATAGATAGATAGATAGATAATTAGCAGTAGAGATAAGGTCCTGAGCACAGGTTCAAGAGTTAAAAAGCTGGAGTCTGAATCCAGAGTCTGCTGAACCAGCTGTGTACTTGGCCAAAGTATTTAAAACTGCCTCACCTGCCTCATTTGAAAATGTAATAGTAGCTATCTCATAGGGTTATTGTGGAGACTGAGGTAATACACACAGTCTGTAGAGTAGTACCTGTTTATTATTATGAAGTTATCAAAGCCTTTTAAAACCACTATAATCTTATGAGTCACCCCAATACATTTAATTTTTAAAAAAACGTTTAAATGTCGATCCCTAATAATAATTACTTTTTATATTCATAAGTACTTCAAGTGGCATACCACAGTTATGCTCCTCACTATATTTCACACACCTTTGAAACTTTAAGTGTTCACAAAATCTAATAGTGAACCCACCGCGGACTCCATACTACTAAGTTCAAAAGACAACTTGATGTTGTCTTGGAAATTTGCACTTGATGGTAAATGGGCAAAGAAAATAATAGCCATCTAAAACTTACCAGAGAAGATGCACAGAAAAATTTCCAGTACTATAAGATCTGTTTAAAGCAACAGGATCTGTGTACTGTGTTTGGAAACCTACTTTGGACTTGTTTTCAAGTATATTCAGTGGCTTCACCTTGTTTATCACTTAAAATCTTAAAAGGAGGCCACATTTAATTTTGAATAACCTGACCTTGAAAAATGTTTGGTATACTATATTATATGCAGGAGTGTCCTATTAAATTTTCTTTCCAATAACTTAGTAAATCAAAGGACATCATTAATGAAAATTAACCTATACTTTTCCCTTTAGTAAAAAACACTATTTTTAAATGAATGTTTTGGAATGTTAGCACAATAACTTACAAAATTTTTAACATCTTGCAATTGTCTAAAAGGTTTCATTTCCAATGCCCTACATACCCACCCATAATTCTAGAATATCTGACTTTAAAAAAACACACCAACCCCTGCCCAGTGTTACTCAGTGGTTAGAGAGCCGGCCCTGCAGGAAGAGTCCCATGTTTGATTCCCAGTCAAGGGCACATACCTCAGTTAGATACCTGCCCAGGTCAGGGACATGCGGGGGGGGGGGGGGGGGGGGGGAGTGAGGGGAGGGGAGGGTGCCATTCAATATCTCTCTCTCACATCGATGTTTCTCTCACTCCTTCCCCCTTCATCCCTCCTTTCCACTCTCTAAAAAGCAATGGAACAACTATCCTTGGGCGAGGATTAAAAAAACACACCATTTCCCCAGCTGACTCAATACAGCATGAATTGGCTATTCCCCCCTAAGAGGAAATATACCTGTAGTATCTTCAGCATCAAGAAAGAAAGTCATCTCACTTCAAAAGGTAGAGGCTTTCTCCAATTTTTTTCAGGTGACAGCATTCATACTCGGCTATCCAGTTTTCAAAATCTTTCAAGGCCCTGAAATCCTGTTTTTGTTTAAGTCTGCTAAGATTATATGGTTCACAGCCATTTCCCCTCAAAACTTAATTGTTCATGTTATCTACTTAAAATTTGATTAGGTCACCTTGAAATTTTCTCCTCTGAAAAGCACTAGAGAGTTTTCGTTATCAGCATGTCCCTTTAAAAATTAGTAATAAAGCCCACACATCTTGCAGCCTACTCATGTTTCATGGTGCTTGCTAAAGAACGATCTTTCTCAGGGATCAAACGGCTAATATGAACTGCTTCAAACTTCCTGGACCTGCATTTTATTTATTTATTTATTTATTTATTTATTTATTTATATATATCCTTAAACACCCCGAGATCCTGTATTGTGCTGCAGCTAGCTGTACAGCAGGCGCATGCTCACAAGGCTTTTCAACGGCCCCCATAGCCCTTGCTGCTGCAAAAACTTCTTAAGCGTTCTATGCACTAAACTGTCCAGTGTTGGATTAACCTGTTTATTTACCAACCCAATCACCTCAGGGAATCCAAACCCTTCAAACTGCTTTCTGTAGCACTATCTGGAATATTCCCTTATTACTTTCAGGAAGATCTGCGGCAGGAAAAAAACGAGTTCAGAGGTTCATCCCCTGACTCAAATCGCTGTTGCCAGGACATGCGGTAGTAATGCAGTGGTTTCTTTGAGACTCTGAGGATGTATTTTATCCTAGAAATAGCCAATCTCTACTAAATCTCCACTTAAGCCCGGATTTCTGCGGTAACAATGCTCACCAGGAAGGTATTTTAAACAGCTGAAAAATGAGTTATTCTAATTTGCCTTTATTTATTTCCCCCCCTCAATAATGCTTGCCAGCACAAGGGCATTTTTCTATACGGCATTTGCAAGTGAAACGAAAAATCAAGCTTTGGCACTCGTTATCACACGCTTGGTCAGTCCATCATGATGTTGCTTCTTATGAATCTTCTTTCGAGGTAAAATTTGGGACGAAACTCACGTCCTAAAACTTACTGTTTTTCAGGCTCAATTAACGGCCTAATACTAATAACAAAACATTTAGGCCCGGGAAACCTCAATTTTTATCTAAGAAAGCGTCTAATAACTAAAGCATCCTTTTGCGGGTGAGGAATTGGAAAGACAATGAAAGTAATTTATTTATTAAAGAGAGGAGGGACCCCCCCACCGCCCCCCTCCCCCCCAAAAAATAGCCGTGCAAGCAAACCCCAGGGGGTCGGAAGCTCTGGTCTAGCAATACTCTCCCAACCCCTCCGACCCAACCCTCTATTCCCCGGGTGCCAGCCCGGCGCCTGCCCAGGCAGGGGAGACCCAGGGAAGCACGGACCCCGCCAGCGGTCAGGCCGCGGATCCGGAGCCCAAATAGGCCAGAGCCGCAAACACGGCGACCTGAGCTGAAGAGGCAACAGAAGACGGGGTTAGATGCGGCCTCGACTCAAGCTGGGAGGCCCCCCCGGAGGAATCGGACGCGGAGAAGAGCGAGCCCGAGCCGGAGCAGAACCTGGACGGAGAGGGAGCCAGGGGCAGAGGAGAAGGTTCCAGCTCGGCCGGCGCCTCGCCCGGATCTTCGGCGACACCCGTGTTTACCTGAAAGTCTCGGTCCTCGTTGAAGCGGGAGAAGCGGTCCGCCATTTTGCCGCCTTCACTGCTCTCGGAACGACGCTCTCCGGTTCGCTCCTTCTCTCCCGCGACGCCCGCCCCCTCGCTCCCCTCCCCAGTTCCCCGCCTCCTCCCACGCCCACCCAGCGCGCGCCGGCGAGGGAGGGAGGGAGGGAGGAAGCGAGAAGGTGGGTCCTAAGCGGAGCCCCCGAGACGCATGCGCCCTTCAGCCCGAGAGGCGGAGCCTTCCCCCTCTCGCGGCCGGCTCGGCGCCCCGCCCTGGGCGACTCCGGGTACGACGCATGCGCACTCGCGCCGGGGAGGGCAAGTGCTTCCGGAGAGAAAGGTCACAGGGGGCGCGGCGCGCACGCCTCCGGATGTTTTCCACCTGCTGATTTTCCTGTGTGTGTCTTTCATTAACCTCCTGCTTCCCAGTGTTTGCAGAAGCCCCGCCTTTGCTTTCTTCGTCAAATAGTGGCATCATAGAGTGGCTGAAAGCGCGGATTTTGGAGCCAGACTTCCTAGTTTCAAATCCCAGTTCTCCCTGAGGATTAAACTGTGAACGAAACAGGAAGAATAACATCTTTCATAGGGCTTCACATTCCAGTGAGGAATAGCAGATGAATAATAAAATAATTACATAACTTCAGGTATTAGCGAGTGCTACATGAAGTAAGACTAGGTACAGTGAGGATAGGGACGACCTCTGAAACGACCTTTTCCCCTGAATTCACGTCTTAGGGCAGAGGAAACCAAAGACCCAATGACAGCTAAGAACTTGAGTTACTTCTGGAATGACTGAAGTTGATCCAAATGAACTAAAGCTGTCTGGGCTTCAGTTTTCTTTTTATGAAGTAAGGAAATTGGATTTGGTACTCTCTACTGCCCACACCCAGCACTAATTTTGTATGGGTTATGAATCAATTTTTCCTATTTTATGACCTTCCTGAGGATCCCACCCAGCCCTCTGGCTCTCTGAGCCAAAATACATAAAACACAGGATGGGTAGCAGGACTTCCCTACTTTTGAAAAAAGTAGTTGAGAGAAATCACACAATGGAAAAATGGCCCTTACCTACCCTGAGAGAGTCAAATGAAATGTAATTTTTTGGAGGAAGGGTGTATATCTTTTGTTACCCTCTGCCTCATCTTACCCCAGTCCAAACAGAATACAGTTCTAAGTAGTGAAAAGAGCTCCTTACTGAGAAGAGGCACAACACACAATTTATATATTGTAAAGAGACTTGAGGATAAATGAGGCAGATTGATGCGGCAAAATAAAATTATCCATTTCCCTCTACCAACCCACAAAAAGATGAAAAGAGTATAAATTCAGAAAGACAGAGACCTGAAGAAGGGACAATAGCAGACAAGAGATGTCAACATTTTGGAAGCTGAAAAACATAGGTAAATGGAAATGGCTTTAATAGAATACATAAAATGAAGTTCCTGAGTGGGGAAACCAGGAAACAAGTTGATTAATGCTGTGATATACTAGAAATGCTCAGGAATTGGAATCACCAGGTATCTTGAGGGTGTAGATAGGGCTGAGAACAGGATTAGTTACAAGGCAGTTTGGAGAGCAGTTAGAATCTAAATCCCTTGCCCAGCAGACTGGAAGGTTCTCCTTTGCTGGGAAAAGCTAAACCTTTAACATATTTGGCACAGCAAAGGAAGGAGCTACCATGCTGAAAATGGGAGGATTCGGTGACAGCCCACATTGTGGTCAGAGAATGGTGTTTCTTCCAACAAGAGGCCACAGGGTCCCTCTCTAGGAAATTGGCTTACAAAGAAAAAAACGTAACAAAAAAAATGGAGTGAGAGGTAAGGTCTCCCCAACATAAAGGTCATGTTCCTGCCCTAATAGTCCACAGAAGAGTCCATTCAAGAAGCCCCATTTACACAGAGCTCCCACTCAGTTGTTTGTTATGTAAGAATGGATAGCCAAGCCCTGGCTGTTTTGCTCAGTGGATAGAGCATCGGCCTGTGGACTGATGGGTCCCAGGTTCAGTTGGACAAGGTCACATGCCTGGGGTTGCTGGCTCAATCCCCAGTAGGGGGCGTGCAGGAGGCAGTTGATCAATGATTTTCATCATTGATTTTTCTCTCTCTCCTTTTCCCTTTCTCTCTGAAATCAATAAAAATATATTAAACAAATAAGAAAAATAAAAAGAATGGATAGCCAAGGATTATCAGACATTTGAAGGAAACCTGTAACGAGAAAGATAAAGACACCCACACCCCAAAACCAAACAGGAAAAGGAATTCAGAGGAATCAGAGATAATGAAAGCAAACAAAGAAACCATTAAAAAAATTATAATCAGCCCTGAAAATGTGGCCCAGTCGGTTGCATATCCTCCTTTGTACTTCAGTCTCATTCCCAGCCAGGGCACATGCCAATGACTGGGTTGTGGGCTCAATACCCAGGAGTGGGCATACAGGAGATAGCTGATAGATGTTTTGCTCTCATGTGAATGTTTTTTTCTCTCTTCTTCCTCTCTAAATAAATAAATAAATAAATAAATAAATAAATAAAATGAAAGATCTTTTAAAAAGAATTATAATCAGTATTCTCAAAACCATAAGAGCACATCAGGGGAACAAGGGATGCAAAAAATAGAATAAATAACTTTTAGGCCCTGGCTGGTGAGGCTCAGTTGGTTGGAGCATCATCCACTACACCAAAAGATTGCGGGTTTTATTCCTGGTCAGGGCACATACCCAGTTGAGGATTCAATCCCTGGTGAGGGTGCATGCAGGAGGCAACTGATCAATCTTTCTCACATCAAGGTTTCTCTTTCTCTCCTCTCCCTTCCCCTTTCTCCCCCAAATCAATAAAAACATCCTCAGGTGAGGATTAAAAGGAGGGATAGAGCAAAAGAGAAAAAAAAACAACTCCTGAACACAGACAACAGTGTGTTGATTGCCCAGAAATGGGTGGTGGGGAGTAGAGGAGGTTATAGGGGGGCAAATGGTGGTGGATGGATGGAGACTTGGCTTGGGGTGGTGAACACACAATACAGTGTACAGGTCGTGTGTTGTAGAATTGTGCACCTGAAACCTGTATAATTTTGTTAACCAGTGTCACCCCAATAAATTCAATAAGAAGGAAAAAAGTAGAGGATGAAGGTGGCCATTGCTGGAGCTCTGCTGCGGAGAGGAGGACGCTGAAGAGGCGCAGAGTCGCGCAGGGCTGCGGAGAGGTGCCCGAGCCGATGATGCGGGGTCCATGGCCAGGACCACCGGCTAGCTGTTTCTCACATCCTTGACCAGAAAGAAGCGGTAGACATCACCCATTGCAAATGAGGAAACGGAGGCCAGATGCTTGTTCCAGGCACCAGATGCACACAGCAGGGCTGGGACCTCACACAGCAAACAGGCTGCACGTGTCAGCTGGTTCTGACTTAGTTTTCCCTACAGGAGACCCCACAATGCCCTGTATGCACCGAGATCTGAAACCTTCTGGTACCCAGGGAATACAGGAAAAACAGGGCTCCAGGTAGAGACGAGGGTGCATATGTCAGGGCTCCAGGCCATTCCAACCCTCAGCTCTGCCCCTGGACACCTACCCTGGAAACAAACCCTCAGACATCAGGACCCTGACTCCCAGGTTTCACCCCCAGCTGCAGACAGACACCGTTCAGTGTAGCTTTGCATTTAGGATGACACACACGACTCAAATGAGGCTCCCCAGAAGCAAAGGCCCCCATCAATGAGCCTCTTGAGGAGGCTTCTGAAACAATCGTGCCTCAGATTATCTGAGGGAGTGCCACCAAGCTCCAGGAATAGTGGAGATGGTCCACTGGGCCCCATTCAGTTCAGCAGGACCCACCCCATTTAGAGACCATCACCCGAGGGGGAAAGGACAGGCGTGAGCATAATGCTGTGGTGGACCTGCCAGCTCCAGTGTTACCTGCCCAGCTCACAGCTGTGATCATTTACGTCCCAAGGCAAGGGGACATCCATCTGCCTGGTTTTATCAGGCACTTCCCCTCCCGAGAGACATCTCAGGTACAAATTCCTGCACATAAATCCCCTGCAAATATCATGTGACTATGAGTGTGGGTATTTAACATATAACTGCTGGCATTAGAAAGTCAACTAGAGATGGAAACAGGTGAGAATCATGACCCCCTGGGGCAGAGGCACCAGCTGTAAGAACCCAGGGGATTCTTACAAATTCTGGCAAATACTCGATGGGAGCTTTGCCAGCCTGGGAATGGGGCCTCCTCAGGGTCAGAGTCTCCAGTCCCCCTGGGCACCAGCCACTCTGAGGTGGAAGGCAGGACACTGCAGACAGGACACCAGTCTGGGTTCATACCTGGCCTACTGCTCTCTTGAGGCATTTGAGTCCTCACCACCAGCTGTCTCCACGGCCACCGCCCAGCTGGCTCCCAGGTGGCCTCTGCTCTCTCCCTGCACTTGGCTCTGCTGGCAGATTCAGTGCAGAGTCCACCCTTCCTTCGCTCTGGGGCTGAAGGGCAGGCCTGCAGCTCCTCTGCTCCCTAACCCCCTCCTAAACTTTTGTATAGAAAACTGCTTTTGGGCTTGTAAGGGGCTTCTGGTCCTTCTCACAATAAAAAAATTTTTTTTAAGATAAAAGTAAAAGGAAAAAAATAAGTTATGGAATTTCAAATTTCCCAAGCAGAAATAAAAAATTCAATAGAAGAATAGAAATAAAGTTAGGGAGCCAAAACTGGTTTGGCTCAGTGGATAGAGCCTCAGCCTGTGGACTGAAGGGTCCCAGGTTCAATTCTGGTCAAGGGCATGTACCTTAGTTGTGGGCACAAACCCAGTAAGAGGTGTGCAGGAGGCAGCTGATCGGTGTTTCTCTCTCATCGATGTTTCCAACTCTCTATCCCTCTCCCTTCCTCTCTGTAAAAAATCAATAAAATATACTTAAAATATATATATAAAGAAATAAAGTTGTGGAAATCTCCCAGAAAACAGTAAAAAGGTGGACCAAGTCATCATTATTTCTCTTTATTGCAATAGCTATTAAGTGCTCTGCTTCCACCCTGACCTCCTACATT